TGCCACTGCCACCACACTGTGAGCCTCAGAGTGCCCCTTCCTGTGTCAGCCCCCAAATCCCAACCATCCCCACTGCTCCCACTCCAGAAATCCTGAACAAGGCAGCACTGTCCCCACTCAGTCGGGTTTCTGTCCCACGCCTGTCCCCAGCCATCGGGTGGCCCTGGCTGATAATACCCCAAGTGTTTGGGACCTCGTTTCAGCTGAAGAGCCTTTTTTTTTTTTTTTTTTTTTTTTTTTGTGCTGCCAGAGGACAGTGTCCCCCTTGCAGCCCTCCCAAAACCGCGGGGCTCAGAGCAGTGCCCTCATTGCTACGTCCCCTTGGGGGGTTCAGCCCCAGGTCCTTTCCCAGAGAGGGACATCACAGTCTTTGGGCTGTCACGTGTGAGCAGGTGACAAGACCTCGAAGAGCAAGGAGATGGGTGACATCCAGCTTCTTATGAGGTTGCTCAGCCAAACTTCACCCCATGGCCTGGGGTACCCCCAAAAAGAGCTGCTCAACCCCTTGGAGGGATCAGCATCCTTCAAAGGGCTCCCAGGTGGAATTTTCCCTGTGCCAAGTGCTGCAGGGGCCCAGCTGAGACCAAGGGTCTATTTTGGAGCAGGAACATGGGATCCTCTTTGCCCATTACCGTGCTGGGAGGTAGAGGAGGAGGAGGAGGAGGAGGAGGAGGAGGAAGAGGAGGCAAAAATAGTCTGGCTGAAAGCCGAGCACTGGCAGAACAGCTTGGCACCATCAGAAATGAGCTGCGCGCAGGGAACAGGGAGGAAAATAAAGAAAAAAAAACCCTAAAGCACCAAAAGAATGTTGATCTCAGGCAAAACCCAGGGAGAGGAGGGCAAGGGTTGCCCTCAGCATCTCAGGTGGATGGATGTGGCCTGTGCCCCCCAAAAAGGGTGTTTGGGGTCTCGGTGGTGCTGGGGCAGGGAGATTCCCTGGTCTGAGGGGTTGCATCGGGGTTTTCTTTGCTGCACCTCCAACACCCGGGGTCAGCTGTGGGGGAAAGTGGGTGTGAGGTGCCCCCACCCGCCCTGGGTGAAGCCCCCCCGTCAGCCCTGGCAGTGATTGATGCCAGTTTGGGTTGTCTCCCTCTATTTCCAGTTCCATGTCTGGCTGGGATATTTTTGCCGTGTGACCTTAGGACCAAATAGTCTCAGTCTCAGATTAAAAAAAAAAAAAAATTTAAAAAAAATATATATGTGTATAGTTTTGGGGGGTTTCTTTGAGCCAAATTTCCCTGTGTTTGACCCGCACAGTGCCCTCCCAAGGTTTGGGGATACCACAGCACCCCATATCTTCCCATGCAGGTAAAATAAATCTTTCCCAGCTCTTTGCAGACCGAAAATTATTCCCCCCAACACGGAGCTGAAGGCTTCAGCAGTTCAATACATCCTCGGCTTGGGGGTCCAGCGCGCAGGATCCCCCCCCACTCCCCGCCCCTGCCGTCCTCCCCCTCCCTGGCGCGGGTGGGAGCCGCTGACTCATCTGCCATCATCATCATCCTCCCCCCACGAGGAAGGGCACTCGGAGGGGCTGCATTGCAGACCCAGCCGAGCCGGCAGACAAAAGCGACGCTGCTCCGCCCGCGGCTCCCCGGTACAAAGAGCCCGGCCGGCGCCGAGCTCGCCGCTGCAGCACCGCGCCCTGCGCAGGTAAGGGATGCGAGCCGGCCGGGATGCTCGGCCGCAGGATGCTTTTTGTTCCGGGAGGGATTTGGGTGGAGGGGAACTCCTGGAATTTCTTTTTGATGGGGGGAAATGAGCCACAGCCAGCGGGGATTTAAGTGGAGAAAGGTGGTTTTGCTTCCATGGGATGAGCAGAGCACATTGAGACCGTGGGAAATGCTCTTTTTTAGGGGTGTCACGCGTAACAAGAGGGGTTTCCCCCCGATATTCATTCCCTTTTACTAGATATTTTATTATTTCACTTGTCACTAAACTCTCTTTTCCCCTCTTGTCACTAAACTCCAATTTTTCACCATTTGGAGCTTAAAAATCCATGTCCGCAACACCCATCACCATTAATAAATCTCTGCTGTCGTGCTGCAAAAACTCACAGACAGACCCCCTAGAGATGGACCTCCCAGGGATAAATTCCCCGGGAAGAGATTATTTTAAAGTCTTGTGGCTCAGTTTACCCGGCGGGGGTGACACAGGAGCCTTTCACAGCCCCTGAGTGACATCCAGAACCTTAAATTTAGCAGCTGACCAGCATTCATCGCACCGACAGGGCACGATCCAAAGTATGCCTGAATCATCCTTGAGAATTCTGCTTTCTGAGACTTAAGTCAGGGAATCAGCAGGGAAATGAGGATGGTTTGGGTTAGTCTGCTCTTTTTTCCCTACCTCCGGTGCCAGTCGAGGAGGGGAATGACACAGCCCTGCCGGGGAGAAGCCGGGCAGTGACTCAGCTCCCGCCTGAAGAAGCTGATCCAGTCTCGTCCGGCCCTTTCCCAAATTTTGGTGGCTCGGGGTGGGGCTGCAGGGGGAATTCTGCAGCAGGGACGGACGGATGGCACGGCAGGGATGGGTGGGGTGTGGTGGGGATGCTCCTTCCAGCCCTTTCCAGAGGGTTCGGTCATGGGAGGGAGGGATGGGGTGGGATCGGGGGGAGGGGGCTGCGCAGGGACCCCTCCCCACTGCCCACTCCACGGGGATTCGGCACGGGGAGAGCTGTGGGGGTGTGGAGAAAGGGTTTGTTTGGGTGCTGCTCTCCCACCTCTGCTCCCCGGAGCCGGCAGGATGATCCCCACCCTGCCCTCCCCTCCCATGCTGCCTGGATGGGGAAACTGAGGCACGGCGTGACAAATCCCTTGGGCCCCCTCCGAATGACGGTGCAGAGAAGGGTGGGGATAAAACTCTGGCAGAGCTCAAGCCTGCAGTTAGACCCAGCCTAGAATCAAACCTCCACAACCCCATCCTCCACCATCAACTCCTTTTTAGGGGATTATCCCCTTTTTAGGGGTTTATCCCCTTTTTAGGGGTTTATCCCCTTTTTAGGGGATTATCCTACGGGGTGGAGTCAACATGGCAACACCTGAGATTTCTGGCCACTTTGGGGCAAACTCCTGTGTGTTTGGTAGAGCTTTTCTCTTCCTCTTCTTTCCCCTCAAGCCTTCCACAGCCTGAAAATGCTGGACACCATCAGCAGCCAGTACGACTCCTTCATCTACTGGAGGATGCCGATCCCGCGGCTGGACACGGCCGAGCTGGAGGGGCTGGGGCTCGCAGACATGGCCCTCTACAAGCCCAAGGCAGGGCTGGCCAAGCTGGGCGAGCGGGGTGGCCAGGACCTCTCCCAGGAAGAGGACACTCTGCTGCAGTTCAACAGCTTTAACTTCTGGCGAGCTCCCATTGCCAGCATCAGCTCCTTAGATTTCGATTTAATTTGAAGCCCTCCCTGCCCCTCCTCACCCCCCTGCTCTCTCTTTTTCCGCCAGGCATGCCAGGATTTGGTTTTGTTGTCAGTTTGGAGGCTGTTGGGTTGTGTTTTTTTTTGGTTTTTTTTTTGGTTCTGGGCAGTTTTGCCATTCCTCGCTCGCTCAGCAGCTCACCGCGGCCTCGACGGTGATGGGCTCCCTGAAAATCTCCAACCCTTCTCCCCGTTTTCCTCCTGGAATCCCAACGGTGCCAGCAACAGCTGGCAAACACGAGGGGAGGGGGCAGAAAAAGCCCCCCCATTGCCCCTCTCTGTTCCCAGAGGGTTTGGGAGGTGCCACCGCCCTGTGTGACAATTTCTCAGCTCATTTCTCGTGTGCTTTTTTTAAGAAACTCATTTGTGCAAATGAGGAGCAAGGGGAATCGCCCTCGTTTTGTAGAAAGCATTGACCCTCTGTGCTCCCCTGGCCCAATTTCTCAAAATTCCTCTTTGTCCCTTGACCTTCCCCTCGGGAATGCAAGGTGGAAGAGGCAGAGATATCTTCTTCTCGAGAAATATAATCACTTTGAGCCTTGTGGTGTGAGCCCAAGCAAAAGAAAATATGTCCAGGAGGATAAATAGACATGGAAATGCACTGAGCTTGCTTAGTGGGGTCAAGGCTGGGTGTTTATTGCCCCAAATTTGACTTTTTTCATCCTTTTTTAACGCCCCACATGGTTTATTCCCAGTGCAGCTCCTGACTGGGACAGATGCTGGGCACATTTTGGGGTCTGGAAGGGTGATGGGGCAGAGCTGAAAGATGGATCTTACCCTCAGATGAAAATATTTCAGGTTTTCCACCCACTTAATCCCTTTCTTTACAACCACCAACAATGCTGCATTCATTCAAGCGGAAGCCTTGAGTTTTCTCCGGGGAGATTTTCACCTGCTGAGGTTTATTTCTGAGTGTCAGCTTAAAACTGGGGGGCAAAACCCAACCTGGAATAATTTTTGGCTTTTAAACAGGTTTGGGGTTTTTTTCCCTCTCCAAGATTGTTTTCTGGGATTGATTTGTCTTCTTGAATGTGCTTTTTTTTTGGGCTTGATTGGGATGAAGTGATGTGAAGCATCCCAAAATCATCCTGAGAGTTGGGGGGTATATGGCTGAGGCAGCACTTAAAAAAGTGCCAGAAATAGACAAAAAATTGGAAAAATCTGCATTCTACTACGAAAATTGGATTCAGTCTCCTGTAATCTGCAGAAATAATCAAGTGTGCTGATTTTGAACCGTCTGTGTAAAACCAGAGATGAAAAATGTAAACTCTCCTCTGCAGAGCTGTTTGACTTCTGTGTTCCCAGCTAGGAAAACCTGCAGGAGAAGTATTTATTATGAAACCTTAAATAAAATCAGTTCAAAACATACACATTCCTGTGTACATGTAGACTGACAAGGTCTTTAGCATTAAAATGTCTCAAATCTCTTTACAGCGAGCTGGGAACTCACCCCCGTGTTTTCGCACATGCTGTGGAAGACTTAAGTGTGGAAAAACTAAGTCTGAAAGATTATTATAAGCACATTAAGGATATTATTTACACTTCGGCTTTTCAAGCCTCACAGGAAAACACCCCAGAGGAGAAATAGGCTCCAGACCTCCAATTTTACCTCAAAAAAAGGACATTTTGGGCAAGTTAGGGGTAACACACCTAGGAGAGGGGGGTTTGGCAGCTTGAGGGGAGTTAAATCCTGGACTGGAAGGCACTCAGAGGGGACAGAGATGCTCAAACTACTGAAACACACACATCTAAACACAAATATATTTACAAATCCTGGATATTAAAGTTCCAAAACACACCTAAACCACACCGCCTCAGCGAGGCGTCGCCGCCATTTTATACTTGGCGCAAAAACGCCTCTGCCGGATCTAACTCCAGGGACCCCCGGCCTCAGTCACGGCGCGCCAGGACTGCTTGGTATCCTTCCGCCAGAGGAAAACACTCCCCTGCCAGGCCTCTCCGACGGCCTCAGGGCGGGGAGAATGGCGCAGAAAATAAAGAGAAATCCCCGCGTTCCGCACAGTTCCCGCTGCGGCAGAGCGAGTGCGGGGCCAGCTCGAGTTTTCTGCGCCGCCTCGGAGGACTCTTTTGTCACAAGACTGTATCCTTCCGCTGCCTCACGGGCTCGCTGCCGGGGCCGCCATTTTGTGAGGCGGCGACGGGAGGGGCGGGGCGTTGTGAGGGGAACCGGGGCCGCTGGGGCGAGGGGGAGCCCCGGGAGGGGCTGTGGGGACTTCTGTGAGGGGCAAGGTGCGGTCTTGGGGGTCTGAGGAGAGACGACCCCTTTGAGGGGTTCAGAGGACGCCCAGTGAGGGAGTGGGCTGAGGGACCCTCTGAGAGGGGCGATCTTGGGGGTCTGAGGAAGGGGGATCCCTGTGAGGGCCTTTGGGGACCCCTGTGAGGGGCAAGGCTGCGATCTTGGGGGTCTAAGGAGAGAGGACTCCTGTGAGGTGTTCAGAGAACTCCCAGTGAGGGGATGGGCTGGGGGTCCCTCTGAGAGGGGCGATCTTGGGGGTCTAAGGAGAGAGGACTCCTGTGAGGGGTTCAGAGGACTCCTAGGGAGGGATGGGCTGGGGGACCCTCTGAGAGGGGCGATTTAGGGGTGTGAGGATGGGGGGACATCCATGAGGGGTTCAGAGGACTCCCAGTGAGGGAATGGGCTGGGGGACCCTGTAAGAGGGGCGATCTTGGGGGTCTGAGGAAGGGGGATCCCTGTGAGGGCCTTTGGGGACCCCCATGAGGGGTTTTGGGGACCCCTGTGAGGGGCAAGGCTGCGATCTTGGGGGTCAAAGGAGATACGACCCCTGTGAGGTGTTCAGAGAACTCCCAGTGAGGGAATGGGCTGGGGGACCCTCTGAGAGGGGCGATTTAGGGGTGTGAGGAAGGGGGACCCGCGTGTGGTGGATGCTCACCCAGAGAGCAAATCCCATCACAAACATCCCAGCTTGCCCTTCATTCTTAACACCACTGCGAGTTCTCAATCTCCTCCCTTCAGCAAACGCCAAAACCACCTCAAGTAAGGTCTTCGAGGACCTCGAGTGTGAAAACCTTGGAGGGAAAAAAAAAACCAACCAAACAAACCCTAAGATTGCTCTCCAGTAGAGGGCAGATGGGTATTTAGGAAAGTAAAAGTGCTGAAATGCAGCCAAACACGCCCAGCTGCTGCTTCCTGCCCCTGAATGTTTTCACCAGGCGAGGTAAGGGAGGAGGATCCTACCCCTGGTGTAAATAAAGGTGGTTCCAGTGCGAGTGGCTACTCCAGGCCCTTCTCCAGGGCTGCAGAAAATGGATTTGCCTGATTGCAACAGAGGAATAATGAGAATTCCTGCCTCTGCCAAATCCTGAGAGTGAACCGTGTTGCTTTGCTCTTCACCGCCAGTGTGGAGTGTTTTGCTTTGTGTAAACACTGAGTAAGGAAATTCCTGGATTAGCAGGTCTAAGGGATGTTTAGGTTACTCCTTATTTATTCTGTCCCATATTAGATGGGAATAAATAGGCTTCCAGTTATTCCTTGAGCCTTATTTTGTCAGGCAAAACCCATTTAGCTTGGTTCTAAGTGCAAATTCTTTTTGAGTAATCCCAGTTTTTCTAATCACTCATCAAGTCAATTCTGTGCATTTGGGGAAACCCAGACTGCTGCTTCTCTGCAGTCTTGAGGCTGCTGAAAAGTTTTGGGAAGCTTTTTGGCCTCAACCTGCAAACACTTCTGCCTGTGAGCAATTCTTTGGTTAAGTGGGACTGCTCACTTGTGTGAATGTTTGCTTAGTAATCAGAGAGTACTTTTGAAATTCCAGATCCTGACATTCCCATCCAGAAAGGGCTTAGGAACAGCCGTGTCTGCTGCTCGGAGAGGTAAATTTTGTATTTCCCACGAGATGGCATCAGCAACCGCTTTAATTGTAACAAAACCACTTCCAGATAAAGAAGTCTTGTCTCTCTTTCTGATTTTGAAATGGGAACAAGGATCTTTAGCTGGGCTAAAGGGGAATCTGGTTACAAGGTGCTGAAAACTCCAGCCTTGGGCTGTTTTCACCTGCCAACCCAGGTATTCTGTGAAACCAACCTGACAAACTTGCTAAATCAGGAAAAGAAGAGAGAAAAAACACGTTGCAAGGGTTAAATGAGAACTTTAGGTGAACTTCCCTCTGTGTGCCTATAATCTGTTGATCTACACTAGGGCTGAGGAACAGGATCTCTTTTTTTCCTTTTTAAAGAGGAATTGTGGGTTCTGTGCACTGAGCTTGCGCCCATTTGGGTAATTTCCTGTCCCATTCTTACGGAGTTTGCATTGAATAGGAGCTACTATGGTCAATTGCAGGAAGAAACATTGTTTTTGGGGCTGAGAAGGCTTGTTTATCTCATTTCAGTCAATATCTCATTGCACTGAGCGTGCTTTTTGGGTGATTGATTGATTTAATCCCAGTTCAAACTTAATTAAAGCAACACTGATGGATACCAATAGAAATAACTTAATTCTTATTACATTTTAAATGAGCCACCATGTCTGATGTTGCCATATGCAGCCCTTGATGTGCTTTAATAGTTCTTTTTTAAAATAAATAATAAAAATGGAAGCCCACTGCTGCAGAAATTGATTGACTGGAACATACAATCCTGGATAAATAGTTCAGAGTGAAATTGTCTCAAATGTTTCCTGTCCCCATGTTGAGGCTCTGACAACTCCTTACAGAAAGGTTTCTGTTGTTTTTTTTTTAAATCATCTTTTATGCTGTTTGACCTTTAATTAACTTTGGATTTAGGAATTTGATAAAGTGGAAGTTTATCTAATCCCCTCACTTCTCAATTCCGTTCTCTTCCCCAAAGGTAAGCATTTTTTTTCTAGAGTCTCGAGACAAGTGATTTAAATTCTTGAAGCTGCTGGTGCCACAGCTCTGATTTGTTGACCCGTGGTGCTTGAGTGTTTTCCTCTCTGGCACCCAGCACAGGTCAGGTCCCAGTTTCCTGCCCTGGGAGCAGGATGCAGCCAAGGGAAGGGGCAGGGAAGGAAGCTTTGCAGAGCCAGGGCTGCTGAACTGCTGCTTCCAACTCCAGGGCTTTTAATTTGTGTGCTGGTCCTTATTAATGTGCACAAAATAAAATTATTAAGGCTGGAAAACACCTCCAATCTGACCTTCAAATGGACTCGGTGATCTTGGAGGTTGCTTGGACCTTCCAGCTACGCTGGGTTTACCCTGAAAACTTTGTTGTGCTGAGCTCTAGGGGTGTTATTTTCTTTCTCCTGCTAAAACCTACTGTATTCCCACATTGTTTTCCACAATCCCAGGAGTCTCAAGCCACACACTGGAGCCTTTCCCCTTCAGTTTCTATTCAAGGAAGAGAGAAGGAAACCCTGACTCTTTTCTCTGGTGTTTGCTTTACTTCCCGAGGTAAGAGGGAGGAAGTGGTGGAAGCAGGAGCTGTGGATTGTGCCACCCGAGTGCCACTGTGCCCAGAGCCACCTGTCCCTGCCAGCCCCTGGCAGCAAGGTGAGGAGCAGCTTCAGTTCCAGAGGGAAAACATCCCAGCTCCTGTGAGCCTGTCGGGTCTGAGTGTCCTTGGGGTTTCTCTCAGCACCACCTCAACCACGCCGGAATATTTTGGGTTTTTCCTGGAAGCCCAACGCCCTCGGGAGGAGAAATACCAAGTTGTTGTCTCTTTGGTAGAGACTGTTCCTTTACCCTTTGGGGAACGTCCCAGCCTGGGAGTAAATCATCAACTCCAACCCGTTACTCCATCATTTCTCTAAAACTTCATCCTGGGCCATTCATATCAGCCTCAATCCGCCCTGTCCTCCCATTAAACCGCCCGGGGCACTGTAATCTCGTTATTTTATGAGACAGATACAAATGGTGTTCAGCAAAGCAGGGCACAGCTCCAGAGCTCTGCTTTGTTTCCTCAAGGGATGTCATTCCCCAGCCTTGCCTACTACCGCCAATTCTTCCAGCGTGTCCCAGGGATACTCGATTATTTGGATTAACTTCGGGGCAGGAAAAGAGGATTAGGAAGCAGAGCAGCTCTTTAAGGCATGCATGGAGACGGGTTACATCAGTTCTGTCTGTTTACAGACTTGCCCTGCTGAAAAACAATTTTCTAAAGCTGTTAATTATTCTGAATTATTTGCCAAATTACTACAAATCATTCCTGGCTTGGGACCCACCAGGAAGACAAAGGAGGAACTGTTTAGGTGGTGCTACCTTCAGTCGCTCACATGAGCTTTCTCCTCCCTGCTTGGCCAAACTCTGCCTTCCCAAAGCAAAAACTCATGTTTACAGATTTAAAATATTTATTCTCTGGAAATGTGCAGCTCTTGCATGTGCTTAAAGCAGCTTGGGGGCTTAGAGATGGGAATTATCCAGGAGAACTTTCTAT